TAAATAATAAAATAAAAATTAAATTCCACAAGAAGAAGAGTTATAGTGGCATTCTTGTGCAGGACTTCAGCACTATAAATAAAGATACAATTCTGAATTATTTAGATATATAAACATATAACACCATGAAATGTAATAAATATTAAAAAATAAAAACACTCTATAGTGTGAGCAGGATCATATACTAAACCTTGCTAGTGGAGAACCATAATGTCTTATATGTAAATATGGGATAAATCTGTTAGGGAAAGCAGGATTATTATAAAACCCACTCTACCCTCTAAGGTAGAAAATCATAGGCTCAAAATTCCACAAAATTCCTTTATTTTTCTCTCTCCATATCAGAAATTCACGTAAATTAATAAATGCCAAGGTGAAGGTTAACCTTAGTTTTATGCTGGAAAAGGTATGCATCACTTCATTTGTTGTTGTTGTTGTTGAACTGCTCCAACTTCTACACCCTTTTCCTGGCTCCATCCTACCATAGTTGTATTTAATAAATTAACTTTCTTTCTCTGTTTTAAATCAGTGAAAGTGAAATAGTGTTACTGCCTGTTATTTTGTGTTGTGGAAACTTTACTAATGGAATCTGTATAAATCATCAAGTGTACAGTCTTCCTCAACCACAATTAGGAATTTGAACACAGCAGTAGTGATACTCATAAGATATATCAAACACCAGTCATCTGTTTTGGCTATGTCCAAGAAAGCACAGTCTAAGATCTTTGAGTTTCAATGTCACAGCCTATATTCTTAACTTTAAAAATAAACATGAATGTCTACATACTTTGTGATAAGTTGAAAAATGCATCCATATCCTACTCCTAAGAATGCTCTTATACAGGAAAAGTGACTTTATAGGATTTTTAGATGAAGGGATCATCCAGGGATATCTGGTTATGCCCTAAATGTAATCACATGTGCCTTTATTAGAAGACGGAAGACCGAATATGACCCTACAGGAAAAGGTACTAGGACAGAGGAAAGGATACATAAATATGCTACTCTGTGACTCTGCAGATGGAGAAAAGGCCAATGAATCAATGAATGCCAGGACTGCAACTCTAGAGGCTGGAAGGCGAGGAAGTGGATTCTTCCCCCAGAGCCTCCAGAGGAACAGAAAGCCGTGCTGACACGTTGACTGTGAGTTTCCCAGGGAAACTGATTTAGGATTTATGGCCTTCAAAACTGCAAGAGAAATACATGTTTCCTTAATTAAGCCACTAAATTTGTGATTGTTACAACAGCCATAAAAAACCAATACAGGTTTCCAGAGCCCTTTTCTTTCTTCTGCCTGTTTCTACACTGGGCATAGTGCCACCAAACTTAAACTCCAGTTCCAGTCCTGGAAGAAGGCACCCATCTTAGAGAATGGCTGATACGAAATCTAGCTTTTCTGTCACCGCAGCTGGCATCCTTTGTTGTCCACTGATAACACCTGATGCTTAGAAAGACAAAAGGTCATGAAGCACACTGGACAGAGAGATCCATAAGTTCCACTGATCACCAGCCCCAGCCAATAAGTGCTCTCTCTTCAATTTCGACTTCACCTTTGAGATAACAGGAAGTAATGTCAAATTTCCTCTGGAGTCATACCTACATTTCAGTTCAGACTCTGCCACTTATCACTGGCATAACTTTAGAAAAGTTTCCTGTTTTAGTTTTTACCTCTCAAAAAAAGTTAATAATAATAATACCTATCTCAAAAGATTGTTCTGTGGATTAAACGACAATGTAGGTAAAATGTTTTGTAGAAGTACTAATGCATAGTAAGGATTCAATAAACTAATCCTCATGATCATTGTCATAATTATTTTGTCAATAAGTATTTAAAGTTTGTTTCCTTAATTAAACTCTAATTGGTTATTTCAATACATTTTACTTTTTGAGTAATACATTCATTATAATAGATCCTTAAAATGGTTTGTCTAATTGTTTTTCTCTGGAAACTTTCTAAGTCAATATCAAAACTCTCAAAACAAAATATTAGGAGTTGCTCTGACATGTCCTACAGAAACATACAGTAGTCTAGGGAAACTATCACAAAAACTATATCCAGGCATGAAACAGGCTAATATAACTTCTGTGAGGCATTTCAATATCATCCACAAAATATAAATAAACCTAATTAACATCATGTGCATGACCTTAATATATAGAAAACATAATATTTTCAGAGGCTGGGGATGTAACACAATGGTATAATACTTGCATGTATGAGGCCCTAGGTTTGCTCCCCAGTACAGGAAGAGAAAGAAAAAAGCAAGAAAGGGGGGGGGACGGGCAGAAAGAGAGAGAGAGGGAGGGAGAGAGAGAGAGAGAAAGACACTGACTGGACTCTAAAGTCTCTGAATTTCCTTTCTCCCAGTCTCATAGCTTTTTGTAATATTCCCACTGAAGCATTTACACAGTATGTAGTAACTAATGCATGCCATTCTTCCTTACTATTCTATTGACAACTTGAGAATAAGACACTTCATGTTTCTTTGTATCTTCAGTTATTAGCCAAACAATGTAGTACAAATTCTTCTATAAAAATCTTTTAAATGAATTAATAATGCATAACCACAATATGCTGCAACAGTAAATATCAAGATATTTCATTTTAGACATCAAAGATATGGTTTACACGCTAAAACTAGAAATGACTTAATAAATTCATTACCCTTCAAGCTTACCTGCATAACTTATCTGCAGTACAGAAGGTGGGATGCTTAATAAGCTTGAAAAATGATCCCCAAGGTATTTTAAAATGGTGTCAACCTTAAAAGACATTATAATTTCTTGACCCACAGGAACAAGTACAACTTTTACTGTGGATAAAAAAAGAAAATAAATAATCATAATCAAATATATCCAGGGATAGCCAGTTATACTCCACAGATGCAGAATTACAGGCCTCTTTAATCATATGGAATGCAGATTACTTCTCTATCACACCCAGGCACATATAAGGAGAAATGGTCAACACTGACTTGCAAACATTTCCTCTAAAAATTAATACAGTATACATAATATCAAGATTGTTCACCCATGTTCAACATCCACTATATTTTATTCCTATAGAAGCCTAGGAAGCATCACAGAAAATCAAGGCATTTTTGTGTTTAAGCTCAAGATGTTAGAATGAACTGTAACTTCTTTTGAAAAAAAAATGACTATTATATGGCTCACTCTCCCACCACAACTATTTTTCAGAAAAATTGGCATTGTCTGACCCATACTCCACTGTACAAAATAGGAAATCAAGATATGCTTAATTTTAAACACAAAAACTGTTTTCAGAAAAATTATTACCTGCTAAAAATAACTATGGGAAAGAATGTAGGATTTAAGAACTAATTAATATGGAGTAAACTTTTTTCTTTTACAACTATAAACTTTCAATTTTAAGAGAAGATTTAATAAGATGAAATATAAAATCCATATTACAAGAAAAGATTGTGTACATTTCTAGATATCAGACATGACAATTGTTCATAAAGCTAAATGAGAAATTTATCAATAATCCCATGAAAAAACTCATCTAGGCATTAGTAATATCAAGGTTCTTTGAGTTAGCTAAATTTGTCCTAACAGTTCTGTATAAACAAAGACTATTCTTTCAGATGCCAAACACTAAATTATCAGAAGACTATCTTAATTGTTTCATGAATACAAATAGCTATGTTTAACAGATTTTAAAACTTTCATATTAGTGTCTTCTTGAGTGTTCAGAAAGAGAGTTATATTAAGGGATTTTTGGAATTCAAGAAGAACAGGACTAAAACAAAATTTTTTTAAATCATCATGTGTTTGCTATAAATTACAGTATCAGGCAAGAAAAAAACTATTCAAAATTAAACCCAAATTTACACTAACAAATGAAACTGAGAAATACTCTGTTCTGTCAGGTATGGTTTTCTGTCTTTCTTTTTCATTCTTTACTTTTGTGGACACACCACACAAGAATATACTACCCACTGTGTTCAAAAACTACATTTGACAAGCCAAACTAAGCTGCAGTTATTATTGTTATTAAATAATGGCCCGTGGTCTCTACCCTGTTGGTGGAAACTGTCTTAAGATTCATAAACAAGGAGGAAAAGGAAGGGTTAATGGTTTTCTGTGTAAACACCTTATTCCTGCTTCCCCTTCTTGGTTATCAAGGATGTAATAAGAGCCAATAGGTGTCCTCCATTTTGTTTGGTGAATGTCTTTAAAACTGATCTACAATGAAAGACAACAATGATTTCTTTCAAAGCTAAATATGAGGTTAACACAAAACAGACTACAGTGATATGTAAAAGCAACTTGCTTAGTGGAATGGACACTGAACGCAAAACTAGAAAATCAGGAGTCAAATTCTCACCCCAACTCTTACTAGCTATATACAACAATTAATTCCAAATAGGCATGCAAAGGAATTCCAATTATAATACTGAAGCATTTTTCTACCATTTCCCAAGGTTCTCGAACATTTTCAAAGCCTACTTTTTCAAACATATATACAAATATGAATTTAAAATTTAATGATGCTCATTTATTGAAGAAAAATAGACAATGTGGCACAGAGAACTTTTCACAGATACTGAACAGATTCAAGTGGTGTAACCACAGAAGTCTGGTGGATAATGGAATGGGAAAGTAGCACCAGGTATAAATACATTTTCAAACAAAAATAAACAAGAAAAAGCATCAATTTTTTGAAAAAAGAAAACAAAATGTCCTATCTTTTCTAGGTAATACCTGTTGCTGAAGGATCTTTAATTGGTATTTGCAAAGATTGTGTTATAGCCTTTATTTTATTCAGAAAGGCCAGACTTTCATCACTTAGGCTCTGTTCATCTGGTTGCAGTGCATACTGTTCTTCCTCATGGCTCAGAGTATCAGAAGCTTGGCTTGGAGATTCAGTCTTTTCCACGAGTTCTTCTTCATTTGATTCCAGACTTGTAGCACTCTTGTATCTTTGGTTCTTGGGTGTTTCATGACCCATAGTGACTTCTTGTTGTTGCTGCTGTTGTCGTTGTTGTTGTTGCTGTTGTTGTTGTTGTTGTTGTTGTTGTTGTTGTTGTTCTTCTTCTTCTTCTTCTTCTTCTTCTTCTTCTTCTTCTTCTTCTTCTTCTTCTTCTTCTTCTTCTTCTTCTTCTGCTTCTGATCCATTTTCTTCACTTAGTTCTGACTCTTCCAGTGCATCTGAAGGAACTGGGACATTGATAATGTCAACAGCATCATCACTTTCTTCTGTGGAATCAACAACATCCCGAATATCCAACTGTTCCTCTTGATCAGACATTTTCCTAAATGATAAGTAATAAACACATTTATTACATATGTGAGAGTTTCTATGTGAAATATCAAATTCATTGATGGTATATAGAGTGATGTTCATAATATAATATTGCTCATTATTTCTTAAATGTTGATTATCTTATTAATGGCAATGAATTTTTAATAATACAGAAAGTAAAGGAAGTAAGATAACTTCAAACAAGAATTCTGAGAACAATATTCTGTGAAGACTATACAGAAAAAAATACTTGAATGTATTTTGCCACTCATCCTTATTCAACAAAGTATGTCTTATAATAAAAAGACACTCAGAAAAATTATTTTCAAATATAAATTTGACATGGATACATGCTTCTCACATTACAAATGATTAGAAGCTTCAGAGAACCAACCAGCTTCGCACCAACTGTTTCTTAGCTGCAATAGAGACTTTGCATTAGCTCTGCACTCACAAAGTGTGGCACAGGTCTCCAATGACCAATGCCCACAAAAAGAAATGTGCAAATGTGAGTTGAGCTTAGAGTTCATTAGAGCTTGAGAAACAGGATGACAGCAACTAGTATCTTGGTCCAGGGTGGTCCAGGGTATCCCAGAGTTAGGGTACCAAGAAGGACCTAGATAAGAGCAGTGAGAAGCCAGAAGAGAAGCTACAGAAGCTGAAAGCCAGAAAGAGAGGATAAGGGAAGTGGCCCTGAGCTTGGATTTCTATGACAACAGCAAGGGGAAGGTTAGACCTGGGAATAGGAGTAAGATGCAAAAGCTAAATCTCAGGCTTCTGACTTGTGCACTAATTCTTACAGAAAGCAAGAGAGAGAAAAAAAATCACCTTTAGCCTGGGGAGATATCTGACTACCAGAAAAAAAAAATCTGAAATAAAAAATATATAATTGTTCAACTCAACGAACAACCTATAAAGCATTAAAAAGAGTTGAGAAGAGGACGAGTCAGAAAATTTTTTGTATTAAATGCTGCAAAGAGCTTAAGATATAAAAATATGAGTGATTAAGAGCCGTGGAAAAGAGAAAAAAAAGTTTAGCATATGGTTTTGCTGTTTTTCAGCCAGCAAAGAATGAGTCTGTATTCTTAAAAAGCAACAAAAAATATGTAACAAAAAATATGCATGTGGTCAATAAAGCCTAAAAATGGCCTTTTCAGAAAACTTTTGTCAGCTTCTGACCTAGCATATATCAGAGTTCAAGAAGGAGAAAATGAAATTAGAGGGAAGAAGAAATATTTTTAAACACAATGGCTGAAAATTTTTCAAAATTAGGAGAATGTGTTGATCCACAGATCCAGTAAACACAAAATAAATCCCATACCTTGTAAGATAAATAAAAATAATTCATAACCATATACATTATAATGAAATTACAGCAAACCAAAGACAGAGTCCCGAGGGTGAACAGTAGTAAAGGACATATCATCTATTGTTTTGGTATCATTTTAATTTGGTGACATTAATATAAAGAAAAGTGACTACAAATTTGTCATCAGACAAACAGAAGCAAAGCCCAGAGAGACTAAATGAAAAAAATAAATATCAACATAGAATTATGTACCCAAAAAAAGTACCTTTCAAGGAAAAAAATGAAAACATCTACAAGTAAGTTATCACAAAGATACCTGCTCTAAAGAAATTTCTAAAGGATTTCATTAAAAGTGGAAAATAATTCCAACTGAAATCTGGATGAGAAGGAAATTTGAACACATAAAGCCATAAACATATAGGTAAATTGAAACGAATATTGTCAGTATGGAATCATCATAAAAAATTGAAATAGTAGAGGTAAGAGACTACTATATGACTGTACTCTAAAAAATTGACAAAACTAGAAGAAATGGATAAATTGCTAGAAAACCATAACTACCAAAGAAACAGAAACCCTGAACACACTAATAATGAGTAAGGATACTGAATTGTAATAAATATATTTCAAAAAAGAAATACTAAGTACCAAATGGGCTCATGGAAGAATATTCTGCCAAATATTTAAAGAATTAATACCAATCTTTCTTAAACTTTTTAAAAATTAAGCTTAGGAAATACTTCAAAATTCATTTTATGGAGCCAGCATTATACTAAAAATAAAGTTCACAGCTACAGGAAAAGAATATTACACACTAAATCTCTATGGATATAGATGAAAAAATCCTCAACAAAGTACAGGTTGAAATTCTTAATCCAAAAAGTCAAAATTGAAGATGCTACTAAATCTAAACTTTGAATTTATTTCAAAATCTTAAAAACTATAAATTTTGAAACATTTTTGTCCTTTGGGAAAAGAAATGCTCAAGCTGTGTTAGCAAACTGAATTCAGTAGCATTTATTTATTTATTGAGTACACGTTTGCATTTCATGCCATTTACAATTGTCTTGAAGAGTGCTTACATGTACATATTACAGCTTGTTTCTTTATCTTTTTTCCCCCTTTCCTCCCCCTTCTCTTCCCTTGTTCATACTTGTTAATATTATCTGTCTCAGCTCAGGTTATGGCATACAGTGTTTACATTAATTGGGGTTACGGGGTTTCTGTACATGACACATCTTTGTTTTTCTTATTTCCCCTTCCCCTCCTCCTCACCCCTTGCACTTGGTCCCTTGGACCACTCTCTCTTGCAAGAGCTCCATCCTCTTGTCCCTTTCTTTTCATCCTTTCTCATTTTCTTTGTATTTTGCCTCACTCAAATGAGAGATACCATACGACATTGAAGTTTGTGTGTTTGGTTTACTTCACTCAACGTTATATTTTCCAGGTAGACCCACTTTTCTACAAATGCCTCAAATTTGTCATTGTTTGTAGCCAATTAGTATCGCATTATACATAGATACCATGTTATTTTTAATCCAATCATCTGTTGATGGGTATTCAGGCTGCCTCTAGGATTTAGCTACTGCAGCATCATTTTTAAAAAGATCAATCAACATAATCAAGTAAGAATTATTACTGGGATGCAAGAACATTTCAATATATACAAATCAGTAAATGCACACATGCGTTAGCATATTAACAGAAGTAAATCCAAAAACCATATAATCATATAATCATGTCAAGAGATGAAAAAAAGTCCTTGACAAAATTCAACATGTTTTATGGTAAAAAAATTTAATAAGTTAATCATAGAAGGGTATGTCAATGCAAGAAAGGCCACAAAATGAAAAGTTCACAGCTAATACATTCAATGGTAAAAAGTTGAAATCTTTTCTTCTAATTTCAGAAATAAGCCAAAGATACCCTCCTCTTACTGCTTCTTTTTTTTTTTTTTTTTCTTAGACAGGGTCCCACTATATAGTTGAGACTGACCTGGAACTCACTATGTAGTCCAGGCTGGTCTCAAACTCACAGCGATCCTCCTGCCTCAGCCTCCTGAGTTCTGGGATTACAGGTGTGCACCACCATGCCCAGCTTCTTACTGCTTCTATTCAATGTAGTACTATAAATTCTGGTAAGAACAATTAAACATGAAAAAAGAATAGAAGGAAGGAAAGGAGGGAGGGAGGAAAGGGAGAGAGTGAAACAACTAAACAAGGAAGGAATAAGTCAAATATTTTGCACTTGCCTGGTATGCATGAGGCCCTGGGTTCAATTCCCAGCACTGAGAAAAACAAATGGTCACTGCTCTAGAAGAAGACTGGCTCTATCTCTCACGGCTGCTCATCAAACAAATTCCCTTGAAAAGACAGTCCAGAGCAAAGCTGCCATTTCCTCTCAAGCAGAAATACAAGAGAGCTGTGGAGAATTCTCTCAAGAGGAATACCAGCCAGCACCAAGGAGCCTCTCATCAGCATCCTGTGAGTATTCTCTTAGCTGTCCGGGGAGGATGCCAAGTTCAGAACAACAACCACAGTGTCTCACACAGCCAACAGGAGTTGTGCCTGCTCATCTGTCCTCTGGAACATTGTCAAGTCCCATCTGATTCCACCCAGTGTGCATAAGCCCGCATGCAATAGCCCACAACACTTACTAGCACTCCCAGGGCAGAAACCTACAGGGTATTCATCTAAGGTAGAAAAACATTAAACCAACTAGGACACCCACCAAGTCAACAGCATAGATTCTCCTATGCCTGAGAGTAAACTTCATGACCGTAATATAAGTAACTAATGTCCAACCTTAGTAAAAAACAACAACATAAACACATAAGGTTTGCTTTTGGAGTCATTCAAAATTCTTTTTCTCTCACCCAGTATTTAGTCATTCAATAAGCCCTGCTGGTATTAACCTGAAAACTCAGTCTCAGTCACAGTTCAACAGTACTACTGTAAAAGCCCGTCAGTCACATTAATTTCATTTTGAAATTTCTACCTCCAAAAGGAGTCCATTAATGTCACAGCAGCCAGAATGTGTGTGTGTGTGTGTGTGTGAGAGAGAGAGAGAGAGATAGAGAGAAAGAGAGAGAGAGAGAGAGAGAGAGAGAGAGAGAGAGAGAGGGAGAGAGGAGGATCAAATCTAGAACTTTGTGCATATGATAAGTACTCCACCACTGAGCACCCCACCACCACAGAAATATTTTGATCAGACCAGATCATGGTCCCCCCATACTTCAATACCCCTATAATAAATATTTTAATAAATAAAATGTTTTCCAGAATAGAAGTTAAAATATTCATCTTGGTCTTCAAGGTCCTAAATGATCTACAGCATGCTCACCTGTGTGACCTCATTTTGTAAATACTCCACACCCGACCCCCAACTTAATATATGTGGGGTTGATTTCCGCTTTCTTTTTTCTCCCCGCTCCCCCTTCCTCTGGCCCTCTTCTCCTTCTTCTTCTTCTGTACTGGAGATTAAACCCAAGGCCTTGAGCATGTTAGGCAAGCAGTCTACGACTGAGCTACTGCCCCAGCTCTTCTCTTTTATTTTCAAACTATTGCCCAGGCTGGTCTTGCACTTGTGGTCCTCTTGCCTCAACCTCCCAACTAGATGGGATTACAGAGGTGGCCCACCACGCCAGATTTTCATTTGCTATTTTCTCTGTCAAAAGTGTGTTACCAGATATCTGTACCACT